TGGACAAAAATGATTTTTACAGAGCTTCTCGTTCTACTTCCACTGGCACAAATAGACAGTGTTACAGAAAACCTATGTAACATAACTTTCAAAGCATTGAGATTAGTGGTGTGTGAAATGAGGTAAAGCCCGGTCTGTTGGAGAGTGACTATGTGGCTTTAGATAAATAAGTTCCTCTCATTTTATTTTTTGATTTGATTATTTTCTAATCCAGATTTTAAAGGAAATACGACTTCCCTTGCCTTCTCAGAGAAAATGCCTTTAATTAAGACATAAATAACAATTCTGGTCATTATACTCTAATAAACACTGAAAAAAGCTACACATTCTAATAAAGGCACAAATGGGGTTTCGGATGTGCTGAAGTTTGATATTTAGGGTTCAGACTTTGCTCAACCTCTAAGCAAACACCACAAATGATTGAAATAATATTTATCAGGCACCCCTCCTGCTTTCCACTGGCGATAACCTTTCAAATATGAACAGCTTGACCACTTTGATCGGCACATGGCTGCAGCGCTCCTGTGTGTTCAGTGACTCAATCATCTCAGTATTGAGCTAATTCCCAAAGCCACTGAAATCAATAGTTCTTATATGTCACACCGCTTAATGGTGAAATCAATGTGATATGTTTTCGTGAGCGTGTTTCTCGCCTTTACTGCAGCATTGAGCGGTGTTGCCAGACTGGCCATGCTTAGACTACAACCATCAGGGTGATGGACACCTCATAGGTTCATGACCTCTCTCTCACTGCATAGGTCATTCCAGCACTGGCCAGCTGGACTGACCCGCAGGGGTCTGTAGGCGTGGGGGTGGAAGTGTGATGATCTTCTCAGTCTCCTTTCGTTACACCAGAGCTCAAAAGGACAATTCACATGTATCCGTCTGCCAACTGGAGCGATCCATACACGGTTCCATATTACTGAGAGGAAACTCAGTGGCTACAGTTACAAATGTTGTTTTTGGACTCATGTAATGCTTCAAAATGCTTTTTTTGTGACATATACGAAATCTGAATCCAGTGATGAATGGAAGCAAGTCCGCTGTGCATATTTTGGGTGTGAAAGGTCCATTGAATGCAACATGTTCTCTCAAATCTGTCCATTTTCTGGTAATTACCCTCTCATGGCTTAATGCTGTGTGCTATCACAGAGAGTCAATGGCCCTTTCAGCCACAGACTGTTGTAGACACCATCACTATCATATTGTCAATGGGGGATTGTGGTCAGCCTGCTTTAAATTCAGCTTATCTTTGCTTTTATGACGCAAGAGTTGCTAAATTAATGGTGATTTATATAATATCCAAAGGAATGGCAAAAATGGCCTAAAATAATGAAATAAAATGTTTACCAATAGGATTCCAAGCTGTCATTGGTTAGGCAAACTGACAGACCCGTCCAAAACCTACACTAATGGTTGAGACAGTGTTAAGCTGGTTGGACACTCAAACAAACACACCAATGATATGACTGTGTGTTTATACTTCTAGAAGAATCAATCAGATTTTTGTTCATATCCAATTGGAATCCGATCATATTTAGCAAATGTGAATGTAAAAAAAAAATTACATGAAATACTATTTTAACAAATCTGTTTCAAGCTACATTCATTTGTCACATTTGTTGAAATCCATTTCAGTCTTTACTGTTCATATCGGACCAACAAAAGCATTGCATAACATAATTGTGTAATCAACATAGAAGGATGCGGTTATGTACAGTACAAGTCAAACTACTAGCTGTAAATCAAACCACTCTCATTACCAGTCCAACTTATAGAGCAGCCCATTTGAACCACTCTGGGAGACTCATTGTATTTCATGAGTCTAATTGTATGATATTATGCCTGAATGAAGAGACACTCCACAGGGGGCCGCATGAGGGGGTTCTCCATTTTCATCACAAAGCCATGGGCCACCTCCATGTGTTGTGCTGATCCACTACACACACCCTCACAAACACACACAATCATTTTGCTATGGTGAAGATTAAAGTGAATTAAGACTAGGACTTTGACTAATGCCAGTCTGGATGTCATTACTGAGGGTTTGGCATGGAGTCTTGCTGTGCTGACTGGTCAAGATTCAGGATTAACACACCCCAGGGGAAACATACAAGATGGTGTGAGCGATCAGGTTTTGGGACGATGTCTTCCTCAGACGACATGGACCATTCTCGGGCTGTCGAAAGTGTATTGTGTATGAAGTAATTCCAGTTAGTTATGCGCAGAAATATTTTTCACTGAAACACTGAAAATGAAATTGAACTAAATTGAATAATGCTGGCTAATTGGGTAATTGATGCTGTTCAGGGTGTCTTGTTCAGAGGTGATAAACCAATTGTAGTAAAGTTTATCGACAACAAACTTCTTCTTGATATTTCAGACAAACAGATTTTCCCAATTGCAACCAAAAACATGATTTTCGCTTTCGGTGAATTCCGTCGACACTGACATGTTCAGGCCTTTCCACGCTGAGCGCGATGCGAAAAAGCAAGGCGAATCGCCGACGAACGGTGCTTTCACACCGACCACGAAACGATTGTTCGCCTTCTGCTAATTCACGCCTGCACGCTAGGTGGCGCAGACCAACAATGCATTTTTCCTCAGATATGTATCTCATAAATTGATTTAACGTTGTCCGCTGCTCAATATACAGCATTAAATTAAGACAAACAAAGTTGGTTCTACACCAGAAACAAACTATCTATAATGCTTACAAGAATAGGCTACATCCTAAAATATAATTAGAAGTACAATTAGCATCAAGCTACACTTGAAAATGTATGTAATTATTAATGTATTTGCTTACCCACTTTAAACCATCATTGAGTGCTTGTAATAACTTCCGATTGTGATCTATAGTTGATTTTGATTAATAAGCAGACACATGCACTTTTTGTATGTTTAATAATGCTACACTGCTAATATTTTTCATAAACATCCTTTATTGCTATAAAAATACCATGAGCTGCATACAAAACACATACAGAAAATATATCGTCATAATCATGTCTATTTGCTTTCATATTTCATGTGTAGAAAAAGAGTTAACGCACTCTGACTCATAACACTCGCGCACGTGGAAGAAAACGGACGGTGCTCTACAGATCACATAATTCAGTGGACAATTAATAGAAATGTTATTCTGTATAAAGAACATGTGAGAATAAATCTGTTCTCAAATACCAAAGATAACAAGAACTCAGCATCCACTCTCTTCTCTTATCCGGGATACTCTTCTTCGATGTTTGTTTACACTGGTTTTCGAAACAGCGCCACCACTCTCACCCTTTTGTGCAACAGCAGCTGCTCCGGTCACGTGATCCTAGCTAAAATCTTATTGGACGGCCTGTGATTTCGCTTTGCGAAACTGAAAAGATTCGTCGGACTGGTTCGAAAAAAAAAACATTTGCATTTTCGGTGCGCGAATGTTTGCGGTCTATGTGGAAGCATCCATAGAAATCTATTGTTTTATTCCAGCGCGTCATCGCGTCCGATATTCTTTTCGCTTTTTCGGGCTCAGTGTGGAAAGGCCTTTCACCTGTTGTGTCAGTAATTAACTGTTTTGGTCAGTAATTAAATCCCTTCAAAACCATTTTGGCTAAAACTGATTTTTATTTTATTAAATTTTTATTTATTTATTTGCTATTTTGGCCGAATATTTTCAGTTGCCAAAATTTCAGTGCATCACTAATTCCTCTCTGATTAGTTGACTTCTACGCAATTTCTAGGAGTCGGATGCACCAGGAAACAGTGACATTTTGGATTTAACAAAGTTAGCAAGTTATGTGAAATTTTCAACAAAATCTTTTCAATTGTTTTTACAAACTTTTTTGAGATTGCAGTGTTATTATTTGAGCATGCTATCACTTGCATGCCTGCAGTATCATCAGTTGAGGGTGATGTAATAATGAATGTTTTGTGCCAGAATAAACCTCAGTGTGGACCAGACTTTATGCCTGTAGCCAAATGTCTGGCTACACAAACTTATATAATGAGGTGAAAAGTGCTCAATTAAATTACCAGTGTGACAAATTAATTGTATAAATTAAGAAATATCAACTAATGAGTCTCTTTTTTTCATTATTTATCTGTCAAAGATAAGGCATTTTTACAAAGACATTTTTATCTCCAAAATTATAAGTTGTTATGACTTAAGTTAAACATAGTAAAGTCATATGACAACAATGCATATATTTAATTCTGTTTCACATAATTTTAACAAATTGTAGGCAGTATCTGATAAGTGTTACACTACTATTTCATTCCATATGAGTCTGTGTGTAAAGCCAAACTGATGAATGGATAAACAGAGGGGAACCTCTTTATAAACTGCACTATGTGGTTTTATTATCTGACACTAGTAGACCGGCATGTTGGTTTTTTTTTTATGTTTTTTTTTTTAGGGTGGGAGGCAGATTAGACTAAATACAGCACTTTTACTGTCAGCAGTTTTAAAACCGTCCTCAACATGTCAGAGTTAAGATGTATAATGCATTTCCCCACAGTTTTACAGCTTGAATGTCAAATAATTCTGTATAAGCACATTTGCCTAAATAAAGCAAGCAATTAAACTGAAAGGAGACCTTTTATAAATACTAAAGTCCTGTTTAAGTGAGCTTGCTAGTACAGTAGCTCAAAGAGGTTGTGGCATCTTGGCAGGCTGGAAATGTAATGTTTAATTAATTCTAGTACTGCCTGAAATGCTGCCTACTTGCTGAATCGTCATATTCCACTGCTTCATTACTCTGCACTCTTACAGCGCGAGAGAAAGGCATTTGTGTGTTCTTCCTGAAAACTGAGATACTGTATGTGTGTGAGTGGAAATGTGGACCATGGCTTGATAACATGCATCTATATATTAATGTTTTTGTTGGCTCTTCTCCACAAAGTGTTAAATCTTAATGTGCATGGGTGTGTTTGTCTGTGTATGGCCATATCACTCCTAAATGCCTGCATTAACCGGCCACTCATCGTCTCCTCTCTGTTCTTTCCTGCAGATCCCGAGTCCCAGAGGAAACGTACCGTTCAGAATGTCCTTGACCTCCGGCAGAACCTGGAAGATACCATGTCCAGTTTACGGGGGTCACAGCTCAGCCACAGGTACAGGAGCTCACTCTTCTAGTCCAGCTCTCCTTTAAAAGCGATGGAGTCTACCATGTGTTAAGATTAAAATGTGGACTTACTCTGCAGCGTGTTTCATTTGTTTATTTGTGCGTGCTTGTTTCTTTTTTTTTCCCTTAGCTTTTTGTTTGGTTTTGTGCTTTTATTTTGTACTGTTTTATTCCTGTTGTTGTTTTGCATTACTTTTTGATTTGTGCTTTTTTTGTTGTTTTCTTTTGTGTTGTTTTTTGTTTTTGTTTTGTGATTTTTAAAATGTATTTATTTATTTATTTTGTTTTGCTATTTTGTGTTTTTTTTATATTGTGAAGTTTTGTTCTGTATTTTTTTAATTTATTATTTTATTTTTGGTTAATTTAGTGCTAGGAAATCACACATCAGGTTTTAAAAATAAAATAATCTCTCAAATTGGTAATGTTATGATTCAATTTAGGGTTGCCAAAATTTTTAACCTCATATTAGAAATATTAGAGATTTGTAAATTTATCATATTAGTCATTAATTGGATATAATGGCTGATTTTGGGTATTTAATAGTGCTCAATTATCCTTTTTTGGGTTTAGATTTTTTTTTTTTTTTTTAGATTGTGTAATTTAGTGCACATTTGAGGTTACTCAAATGAAGAAAACAATTACCAAAACTTAAACTGAATATCCTTTTCTCATACTGTAATGTTATAATGTTGTGATCTAATTGATAGAATTAGAAATTTAGAATAAATAAAAATAGTAAAATAATGTATTTTAATAGTTTAATATTAACAGTATAATTATAATGAATTTAATAGTTTAATGTCAGTGCATTCCTAAAAAAGAAAAAGCAAATGAAAATGTCTGTCCTTACTGTCATTGTCAAATGTCATTCGGAGGAATATTACATATTTCCAAGTGAATGCAAAACATCAGCAAAGGAAGTCAGCAGTCGTGGACTAGAGCAGCAGATGTTTCTGTGTCCTTCTCACATCAGCACCTCCGCCTGTTGTTTCCTGCTGTCCAAGGCTTACAAACACAGATGCAAACCCTACAGCAAAAGGATGGATTAGCCTCTCATTAGAAAGCCACAACTGCAAACCCCTGCTAGACCTCACACAGTATGTTGTGTTAGTGTTTTGGAAACCAGAGCTACTGGCAATGTTTTTGCTAGAGTATTGTTTAAAGAAGCAGAAAGCGCTCCTTCAACCAGAGGAAGTCACTCGAGGAAGCTGTTAATGGTGCATTATAAACCAACAGGCCTAGAGAGAGTCCATTCCTGCAAACGAAACACTAAATATGTTGTGTAACAGCTGTGAGAGCCGTGGCTTAGTGGTGGACGCAGGTGCTCTGACGCATTGAGCCGTGGTGCTCATACAGGCAATGTGAGTTCAAATCCAGCTCTTCTGCCAGACAAGAACAGATGAACCATAAGAGATCCATCATCGGAGTATATCTTAGCTCTCTGTCTTTCACTTAGCCTGAGTGTGTCTGTGTAATTTTAGCACTGCCTCCTAGTATAAAATTACTCTGCCTCAGCAGCTTTAAAGTCATTCTATTAAAAGCTTAACATAATTGGCCTGATTTAATGCATCTTCTGCACATAAACACTAATGCCCCTGTAGAGAGAGTCGGTAATGTGCTGAGCCCAAACTCTATAATAGACATACTGTATGTCAGTGTTTTGTGTGGCATTATAGTGCTTTATGATGCATAACAATGGTAACTTTCTTGATTTGTCATATGTTATCCTCCTCTGATTGAAGTGTTCTCAGAAGGGCCCAGTTGAAGGATAAAAGGAACAATAATCACTGTCATTTAGCCGTCATTATTATTATTCAGCACAAAATTCAGGCAAACAGAAGCGCCTGCCATTTTATCAAAGGATAATTCACATTCACGTAAATGCTCTGAAAGCCATTGTCTTCTTTTCTATTAACATTTTTCTCAGCCCTTTGCTGTTTGTATAAAATTTCTACATAAATCTGTGATAACTGCAAATATTCAGTGCATTGTGGGTATTCAAGTGCTTCGAGTTCAAAACAAGTGAGACGATGTGACATGCTGTCAGTTGCATTCCTGTAGATCAGTCGGTAGCGTTTTATAACTTGAAAAGTAGAGCATGACGCTAACAACACCAATGTTGTATATGTTGAATGCAATGTAAGCCACTTTGGATAAAAGCATCTGCCAAATGCATAAATGTAAATACCAATTATGACTATATAGCATTAAGTTATCTGTTAGCATTCCCAAAGGTAGCTAGTCTGCTGGTGCAGGACCCTCCAGAAGTTTGTGACTTTGATATATGATATATTGACCAATATTTGCTATTTTTAAATTATTTGGAGCATTTTTCTGTTTACTGTTAAGCGTTGGAAGTGACAGCACTGGGACTTTTGTTTTGAAATGCGCTGAGATGCAGCAGAGCTCCTGTCTCCGACTTCATTAGTTAGTTGTCTTTAAAGGGGGCATATGATGCTGCTAAAAAGAACATTATTTTGTGTATTTGGTGTAATGAGATGTGTTTATGCGGTTTAAAGTAAAAAAAACACATTATTGTGATCGTAGAAATGACAAACAACAAGTGCTACTCTACTGCCCAAAAGTCGCGTTTGAATCATCAGTGGCAAAACCTTTAAATGAAAACCTACTTACAGACTGTGAGTCAGAACTGCCGGCATTGTAGTCTACTCTCCCAGGATCAGGAAACAGTCCTCAATAAAATGTGCTGCACACATCTGAATATTTGGGTTGAACTGTTCTGGAACAGTGTTGTAAATA